CCTCCCCCTTCCTATTGGGAATGTACACCAAAGAAATTGAATGATAAGAATAACTTTCATTATATTAATTGACATTAAATAGAAAAGCGTGTGTATCAATTAGCTTCAGTTATCCTCCTTGTTTATATAATTTTTATATTAAAAAGAAAACTTACTCGTTAATGTTTAATGAGAAATCAACAAATTTAGATAAAACGTTTATGTAAAAGCTATAAGTTGGAAAGTTTGTCAATAATAGAAATTGTTTTTAGCCAGTAAATGTTTAATAGTGTTATTCTATTGATATAATCAATTTATTGTGTGATATGAATATTATAATTCCATAATAATAGATGTAATAATAAAATCTACATTAATCGTTATAAAACTTTTATCATAATAATGGTTAATATTTTATTTATACATAATAGTTAAGTATTTGTATGGTCCTAGAAACGATATAATGGAATTATAATATTCATATAATCAATGAACAATGTTAGCTCTTATATCTTTCTTTCTAAGTACACTTCGATATAGCCAACGGACACCACCGACGGCACCTGAAGTAGCCGTTACGCTTACAACGAACGGTATGCCTAATGAAGTGACTAATGTCAAAGCAACAGCACCTATACTTACCGCCGCTACAATGCCAGTTTCACGTATGGTTTCCTCGTTACATGCCATGTCGTATTTATTTATCAAAATATCTTGTGTTATACAATCCATAGTTGTTTGGAAATCGATTTCATCGATGAGCTTATTAATAGCATCATGATAATTTTTTCGTAATACCGGGTAGATTGCCTTATCGCATTCAATGTGTTCAGAGCTGTGATTGAATAAACTTTTTACCCAACTGCGCTTGCTCATTTCTATCTTCAGAAGATTATCATACTCTGTTGTAAAATTCATTAGCTTATCAATCAGCAATATAACTTTGTTATAATATTCGTTGACACTATTGATGTAATTCTGACGAATATTTACGCTTGAAAATGTCGAGTTAAAATTAACTTTTAACCGACCAATTTTAGAATCAAAAAGTTCTAGATAAACGCTAGATTTATCGGTGTGAAATTGCTGAATATCAACCCTTATTTCTTCTAGTGAAACATTATTTTTAAAGTTTAATATTCTGTTCAGGTATGTTTTCATGTTGGTTTCGTATGTATCAACAAAATAATGTTTAATTTCAACGCCACTTGCGAATTCAGATAATATGATGTTTAACTTTTTAAATAATTCTTCCTGAAATTTTATAATATACTCCCTAGGATAATTCTTTTTAAATGATTCGGTTTCAAATAATATAAAATTAGCGCATTCTATGTCGTAATCGTCTCTGGATTCTATCTTGCTCAAAAAGTCTTTCATAATTGGGAGAATAATTTTTAAGGAATTTTCGACAAATTTTGAAATTTGTGTATCGGTTGCATTTACTTCGTCAGACAAGACCTCGCGAAACGAAAATTCAAACTTTTTTGAAATATCTTCGTCAAAATTCGAGATCACCGATAGAGCCAAGAGCTTGCGATTCTCGTTAAACGCAGTCAGGTGCTCATTATCGAAACAATTCCAGGTTCTTTCATTAATCATATTTATTAATTCATTAGCGTATTTTGAGTATTGCAATAAGAATAATTTTTCAACCTTATCAAATTTTTGCATTTTAGATTTTAAAATTTCAATTAAAAGTTGCCCATAATTTTCACCATTCGGGCCCAGCCAGTCAGAGTATGGATTTTGATCAAACTCGGTTTGGCATTTACTAATAACTTCATTGTAAATTTCATTAATATCAGTCCTGTTTAAGTTATTGATTAAGTACTTTTTAAGCAACGGATTCATTATAATGTGATATTTAGATAACATCTTTTTCATGATGTTACCATTAAGATCTTTACTTAAAAGGTGCATGTTAGTTGATAACTTTTGTAAATGATCAGCGTTGTTTATCATTTCAAATATGTCGCAAATAAATTGCGCATAATCTGAACCTTGATCATATTTATTAAGTGGCGATTTACAAATAAAATCTCGAAATTTTAAGCAGTAGTCGATATATTCATCAATTTTATCGTAATCATACGAATCGCCTGACTCATCGCGTACTTTTGTTTCAGGATCAGGAATTAAATAGCATTCAACATTTTTGAACATATTCTTAAGTTCAGCAAGGTCAATATTTCTATCATCTTTTAAGCATTGCTTATATTTTAAATCATCATCAAAACCGAATTGATACTTTTTCCGTTGTTTAATATTTGTAATAATAAAGTACAGGCTTTCAAAACTTCCAGTAAATTCTTTTGTTAACGTCGAGTATGCTTTAACCGTGTTGAAATTATTAGCATCAAGGTTCGTTTGTGACAAGTACACAAAGTGTGATGCCATCATGGCGGACAATACAAATAATTTTTGGTAACAAAATTTGTCCCGATTATCGCCGATAATACCCTCCACGTCTACAATAAAAAGATTGCATAACAGTCGTTCGGGGTTTGTTTTGTCCACAATTTTAATTGGCCTTGGTGATATCCATATTCCACTAGTGCATGATTTGTGATCATCAGGTGATATTGTGAATATGCGGTCAATGTTAGCTTGTTTATCATAATTTTTTAATTGTAAACCATAACTATCATTATTATCAAATACGAATTCTACTTGCGAATTATTATAATTTAAAATATTACCAAGCGTAGATTTTCCAATACGTTGTTCACCGCATAATAATAATAACTTGATTGGATTGTCGGCAATATCTTTGTTAATAACAAATAAATCGTTAACAGCCTGCTTGTTTAACTCAAGGGCGTCGGTCGATATAACCGACACCAAGGGGATCGACAACATTCTGCAATTTTAAAAATTTAATTTAAAGTAAAGTACGCAATTGTATTATTTAAGGTAGTAATGAAAAAATTTGTCACTATGTTAATTTCATATAAACAATTATGGGGTAATACTGTACTCGGCATATTGACGAGTATTTTATTTGACATAAAATATTAATGAAATTATTTTGAATAACTACTAAATAACAATGTTTAATTTGAGCATAATTTTATTAATTTTAATTATATAGTAATAAAGTATATGGAAGTAATCTCTATTTCTCAAATAAATATTTGAAGTTAATTTGACAAATATTTGTGCTTAAGATAAAATAAAGAATAATAATTTTAAGGTTGTCAAAGTTTCACTTAATTTATTCAAGTATAGAATTCTACCTTTATTAAAAATTACATTTCGAATTAACTAGTTAAAGGTTTATGCTTAATTTTTTAAAATATTTAAAAATTTATTGAGAATAAATCAAATGATAGAAATTAAATACTATTTAAATTATTAATCTTATTTTAATTGAATTTTACAAAAAAAGTTCTACCCCAAAAGGCCTACGGCCTAAAAGCATATTCTGACATAAAATCTAAATATCTTTTAATTCACTGTATTAATGTGGACCAAAGTTTAGATATCACCTAGCACAATAGTATTACATAAATCCTGCTAATATATTTGATATAATTTATTCAATATAAGAATTTATATTTTAATATTTTGTGAAATTTTGATAAATATAAATTAACGTAGTTTGGTAAGTAAATAAATTATGTGAATGTATTTTAACGTAATTTATGACTAAATTAATGAGCGATAAACATAATTAAACTTATTTGACCAATTTATGACTTTTAATTAATAAATAAATTTGAATTTTATAAAAGTAGGCCTTTTAAGCCGTAGGCGTTTTGGGCGAGAACGGATTATTTAGATATGAGCGGACTTAAACTTACCATAAATTATATTATACTATAAAAGCACATAACATAATAAACATAAAACAACTTTAGTAAAATTATCATTACAGTACTGTTATTGTATTTAAATTAATTATTAAGTTAAATTAATCAGAATTTTGCTAAAGTAAGTTTATTTTAAAATAAATCTTGTAGACATTATAATAGTTTATAATTAATAAATTAAAATATTAAGTTAATTAATTCATGATTAATATAATGAAACATTAATTTTTAGTTAATATCACATTATATAATAATAAAAATGGTTGCATTTTAGTTCATATTATCTTTAAAAACATAATAATAAATTTAATTATTAAATAAAATTCATTGTATAAGGCATTTTAATTTAGTTTAGTTTTAAATGATATTTATTTTTAAACTTACTTTTATTTAGACCGATTATATTTAAAGTAAACCATATTTAAAATTTATAAATTATATTTATAAATGAATGAATGTTAATATTTTATATAATAAAATAGGATTCTAAACCAAATTATATAAGTACTCTTAGATAAAAGCAATACAAAGTTGTTATTAGATACAAAACACATTTTTTTAATAATTAATAATTTGTTACAACTATTTTTTGACAACTATTTCAAAATGTATGTTATATTTCATAAGCTGCATTAGCTATCAGATAAAAGTTTAGTATTTTAATTCAAATACATTTACATTTCAATTATAACTATAGTTCCTTAAATGTCGTTATGTGGCTTATTTAAGTGTTTGTTTTATTAAATTATATTTTATTATACAATAGGGTAGGGTCAATATTAGTCAATAGGGTAGTTTCCCATACATTGGATGTATAATACATGTGTATTATTCTACGTATTAATCATGTAGCACATTTGCCATACATACATGAAATCCCGCCCCTATTTAGAAAACTGTAAAATTTCTGATTATTTTCAATATTATTTAAACAAAATCTTGTATCATATAAAATATAATATTCTATAATCTTAATATAAATTTCATTATTTTTCTAGACACTTGACAAAGAAAAATTTATTGTCTACAATATGTATTATAAACATTATAGTTGCTATAATTTTATCAATATTTAATATATAAATTATTTTATTTATTAAATGGTTAGAATTTTACTACAATACAATATAAATGCACACAAAAAAATTTCATAATATTTAATAGCAAAGGTAAGCAAATCCCTTTGAAACAAAAATAGATTATTCTAAATTTTTATGATTAATATTAATAAGTACATACTGTACTATATAGTGTAATTTCTAAAGGTAGTTATATAATTATATATAAATAAGCAATTTTGTAATTGTTTTAATTTTTAGAAATAACTAAACAACTTTTAATTTAATATTTAAATAATTATTCAAAATTAATTAAAGTATGGCATAGATACTTCTTGATTACTTGGTTTACATTAAACATAATAGCTTTATTATTATTTGTTTAAACTTAATTATTAGCAGCAAATACAGTAAAAGTGAGCGTGTCAATCTTAAACTCAATAAACTTTCCCAATTGTCTCTGAATTGAATATGAACCGGGGAATGAGTACACAAAGCATTGCCAATTACAATCAGGGTAGTTTCGGTTCATATCACTCCGTATTTGTGCCGTCATTTCGCTAATCTTTTCCGACTCCTTAATCGCATTAATAGTGATGCGTTGGATGTCGTAAACCATAGTCTCATTCATATCCGATTTGTTTACATTTAAATCGGGTTTTATTTTCTCAGTTATTATCCGTTGACGGAATCCATCGTAATCTTCCTGAAGATTAATATAAAAATAATTAATTTATTAATTTTGTTAATTTACAAAACGAGTATATGATGTATGCTTTTAAATGTTAGTATATTATAAATGAGCAAGTTATTTATTTTTAAAAGTTATATTAAATGTGGGTTCATTGATTAAATAGATTATTTTTGTACTTTTATCTGCTTTAATATAATTTAGTCGGTGTTTGGTATGAATAGTCATATGAAAGCAGTTTTTAAATTCATTTTTAGATTATCAGGTCCATAAATTATGTTTGTGTATTTTACTAATATATCATATTTTTATAATTAATTAAATAAAATACATAATTAACTTACCGTGTGAGTTTTATAAATAATAATATGTAGCATACCATATCGCAAATCAATCAGACTACCAGTGTCATAAGTAAATGTAGCGTCAAATGCATATCCGGCTGCTACACTGCATTTAATACCAAGGTCATTGTATATGTTTTGTTTCAATTCTTTACAGAAATCATAGTATCTGTTATTTTCCATAATTCCTTTTTGCACATGACCTAGTACACATTCTTTCATATTGCCATTAATGTCACATTGCACAATTCTCTGATTTTGCATATGTTTACGTGCCGAATTAAATGCATCTTGCTCACTTAGCTAATAAATAAAAATTTTATAATACATAAAATATTTATAATATATTACAATCTAGCTAATCTTATTATACTTAATACTTACCACATTATTAACAATCATATTTTTGGACTCGACTTGCAATTTTAATAGCTCATTCAATTTAATTAGATCAGTTAAACAATCGTGGTCAGTAGTGAGCCTGCAATTACATTTACCACATATGGGAACATTGTATTTGCAATTAGTAGCATGTTCAGCTAGCTCGGTTAATTTTAATATTTCATTGCAACCACGCCCTTTAAAGTCACAACTTATTGTCAAGTTAGCCAGCATATTAGTTATAGCCCTGAAATATAAATTAAAATTATGTTTCTATCTTTTATAATTATTCAGAATTTACCTTGGTGGTGGGGTAAGTTGCCAAATGGTCATTGGTTTATCATCGTTAGGGCACTTGTAGTTAGATTTTATGATTGCTTGAATACAGTGCCGGCAATACATTTGTAGACAACATTGTGTGACTACAGGGCTGTTCAATATGTTTTGACACGAACTACATGTCAGTTCATCCCTTTCCCATTCATTCAAATTAACAAAGCGGTCAGTATTATAGCCAGACATTGAATTTATATTTTTATATTTCATTTATATAATGTTAATATATAAACATCAGTATCTAAAATAACTTTGAAATGCAATTTTGTTTCATGTTTTATATTTATGTTAAGAAAAATATTTTGATAATTAATAATTGCTGAATAATTGTGACAAACATTTGATGCTAAATATAAATATGATATTTGCTTTCTCATTGTTAAATCTTAAAGGTTAATTATATATAGAGACAGAACTCAAAAGGTATACTTAGACCTTGCTTATTATAACAGTAAAACACTGATTGGTATTAATAAAAGCAGAGTTTGGCATACTTATTGATAATTGAATTCATATATTAAGAATTTAATAAATACATATTAATGGTTACGTATTGTTTGATTTGATGTATCAAATAATCATTAATAAAAATTAAATATTAAATAAAACTAAATAATTTATGCAATATTGCTTTTTAGCCTTAAATAAATGTCAAATGTTATATAAATACATATCAAATTAATATTAATAAATTTCGTAATAAATTATTATCTATTATAACAATGTTATAAAATATTGTCCGGTATTTCTGTTTAATCTAGTAATCATTCAATTAAATATTAGAAAAAAATTATTTTCTAGCCAGATGTTAAACAATTATAGTCTTTGAGAAATTGAGACTAAAATTTAGTAGAGACTATTTAATATTACCGTAATATTTAAAACATATATATTCAATTATTTAAATTAATATAGATTGGCAAGTTTAATTAAATTAATAAATCTTTTAATAATCATAAATATTTATTGCATTTATTTAATATTACATGAGAATAATTTTTAATTTAAAAGAAAAAACATAAATAATTATAAAATAATATGAGCATGTTTTTTATAGACAACTTTCATTTAAAATTTTCAGTAAAATGTACAATTTATAACCAAAAATACTTATAGATATTCTATATAATATAGACCTTATTAGTTTAACATAATAACAAAAATCGTGTCAACACTAGTTAATCAATAGTATATTTTATACATAATTAAAAAATTGCTATTTTAATAACTAAAATTCTACATTTGTTAACATAAACAATATTATAATATATCTCTGTGCTGCAAACCAAAGGACACCTCCAACTCTGCTTACGCTATGACTGTAAAGCATTTGAAGCAACTTTTATGCATTAGTTTGCTATGAGTGCACGTTCTCTACATTAGTTTTAGCTTACAGTATGAATAGATATGAAAGTATCCTTTGGTTTGCGGCACAGAGATATGTCAAAAAAATGTGAGATTTTAGCAACTACAGATGTAATCTGTAATTGGTATATTTAATATAATTTAATTATAACGTACAAAGTTTATTTTTAATAAAATTATATTAGCATATTATTTAAATTCATTATATAAATAAAAAGTAAATAAACTTTGTTTAATTGAAAAATTATAATGTTTAGGGCGATTTAGAAATCACTCATCAAAATGAATTATTTGTACTAATTCAGAGCAAATTATTATGTTTGTACTTTATAAAATTTTAATATAGTAATAACAGTAATATACTGTTTAACTATGATTCACATTAATTATAGTGACTTTAAAACTTTAAATTCACAACTAGTATTGTGCCAAGTGTAATATATGTGAAAATTATGTCACTGCTATTTTATAACTAATAGATTAATTGTGATAATTATTATCGATAAAAACATTTTAAAAATGTTTTTAAAATAATATAAAATTTTTTAATGGACTGTATTTACAGTACAAAATCCTTATCTTTAAAAAACCGATTTATCGGTAGGCCATTAAAAATATTTTGCAAAAACCTCATAACATTGAGTAGTTTCCAACAAAAGGGGGAAGGCCAACATTATGTCATATATTTCATTTGGCATCCAAAATTATATTACTTTTTGAATTAAAATTATCATAATTATACAACGATAATGTGTTTATACGATCCCAAAAGTTAACTAATGATGTTAAATTATTTATTTCCAAATTCCATTTTAATTGTGCCATTAATCCAATTACCGCACTAATTAACGGGCGTCTATCATATCTATATTCAATCAATTTAGCATATAGTTGTTCAAGTTCATTAACATACATTCTTAAGCCAAAATTGTTATCCAATATATTTAATTTTTATAAGAGTTACACAAATACAATAGATTTATAATAAATTATATTTAAAAATTTCCAAATTGAAAACTTATTTGAAAATGACTAATAATCAAAATCTATATTGGTAAAATGATAAGAATGATTATTAATTAATGTATTTAAAAACAATAATATATTTCATAATAATAGTGTAATGTAATAATATATTTTGTCTTAATCTTATTTGGATTATAAATTCTATACTTTAATTATAATTATATATTTATGAATATTATTAAAATAAAATATTTCAAGAATTTATTTACATTTCAATAGTCAAGTTATTATTAGAATTGCTTAAAATTATTTAACTTGTTAAAAATTATATTAATAAATTCGGCATAGTCGCTACCTTGGTTACATTTGTATTCAGATGATTTACATATCAAATCTCGGAATTCTAAACAATATTCGATATATTGGGGTATACTTAAGTAATCATACGAATTACCAGTTTCTTTATCACGAACTTTAACATCAGGGTCAGGTACTAAATAGCACGCGACACTTTTAAATACATTAGTTAAATCAGTCAGATCTATATTTAAGTGTTTTCGCAAGCGCATTTTGTACTCCATGTCTCCATTAAGCCCATACTCATATTTATGTACGATATTCGTGATGAAAAAGTATAAATTTTGAAAACTCCCGGTAAATTCTCTAAAATATTTAGTATATATTCTGATCGTATTGAAATCAACAATGTCTAGTTTGGTATTGGCCATATAAACAAAGTGGGACGACATCATTGCCGACAAAATAAATAATTTATGGTAGATAATCATATCAGAATTCGCACTTATTATACCAGCAACATCAACTATAAACAAATTGCATAATAAACGCTCTTGGTCGCCATGCTTCTCAATTATTTTAATCGGCCTCGGTGATATCCATATACCATTTGTGCATGGTGCAATATCATCATGAGAAATAGTAAATACTCTGGATATATTAGCAAAATGATCGTATTTTTTTAAGTCATAACCATAATTATCCATGCTGTTTATTTTTAATTCTACTTTCTGACTATTGTAATTTAAAATATTGCATAGTGTAGATTTGCCAATACGTTGTTCCCCGCATACTAATAATATTTTAACAGGATTATTCGCAACTTCCTTATTATCAACGAATACTTTGTTGATTGTTTGCTCATTTAATTTTAGTTCATCATTTTCAGTAATATAGACCAATTGCATAGATAGTATATCTGGAATTGAAAACATAAAATAGGATTTCTCATGTTATTTATGTAAGGCAAAACAAAATTACAATCGTTTGAATGCAAATGTAAAGTTCACCTAATTGTTCAAAATTATCCTGGTCAATTGAAAATAATGATGTTTGAGAAGTTTTATTAACTACATTATCAAGTGTATGAGATTTGTTATTTAATGAATTTTTACTTGTTCCATTTGAATTTTTATTGCATTTGTTTTTAAAAAATATCGCAAAAAATCCATTTTTATAATTTTCTAGCATATTTAAAATTTTCTTAAAATCACCATCATTAATTATTAATATGGTATCAATTGTCCAGTCCGAATATTTAGCCAGTACATCCCGGCAGTCGGGCCTTTGTTCCCATAATGGCGCAGACATCATTGATAATAATATTTGTTTCAGGGTATTAATAGCTTTATTTAAACTTTTAGCCAATGTTGAATAATCGTCAGAACTAGCAAAGGATATAATTTTTAATTTATATAAGAATAAAATTAATTTTAATTATTTTAATTTAATTATATTATATATATAATAATATACAATATAAATAGATTACTTATTTAAATAGCCAATGGTCAAATCAAAATCGAATATCTCTTCCCCAATTGTGGATAGACTGTAGATATCTGTTTTATGATTGTATTTTCTACCTTGAAGAATTTCAGGTGCCACGTATCTATACGATCCTAATTCACCTGTATGCTTTTTACTAGTATGTGAGTGCACATTTTTCTCGTGAACAGTAGCCAAACCGAAGTCACATAATTTAATAAATCTGCCGTTTCTTACGTTATCGGCGATCAACACATTGCCAGGTTTGAGGTCTCTGTGAATGATCTGTGGATTCAATTCATGCAAATACTGAACACATTCCAAGAGTTCTCTATATATTTCACATGAAATAAAATACTCATATATATTCATGTGATCTCCCGATTGCCTTTCAAATAATTTTTGCTTATCAACCAACATATTTTTAAGATTCTGCGAGCAATACTCCATTTGTATGTAATAATAGTTTCCTTCGGGCCATGAATAATAATAGTGTACAACAAACACGGAACGAACTTTAATTAAATTTTCAATTTCTTTAATTGTTCTTTCTTTATATTTATCAATCCCTTATTAAAAAAATCATTAATTATGAAATTAATCTGTTTATCTATTTAATTAACATGATATATTTTGCTAATATTTGACACATAATTATTCATGTTACCTCTAAAATCAATACGTTTTATAGCGTAGATACATTTGTCGAAATCATTGACAACCTTAAATACGGTGCCAAAACTCCCCGAATCAATTCTATTTAATTCGTTTAATTGTTTAGTATAGTGACTACTTTTACCATTGTGATTTATATATTTATTTTCCTTTATTTTTGATGTTGATTGTCCGCTGAATTCTATTAACAAATATATAAGTTAGTTACATTTTTAGACAAGCATATATTTACCATTATCAATGCCATCAATTGTATCATTTCCAAGTAAGTTAACTATAAGTAAAAATCAACAAGTTATAAAAATACTTAATTTTTGTATTAACATGTATTTATAATTCACATAAATTTTATATACTTTGTATATGGCAAAGTTATCTTATATGAAATGTGAATAATCAAATTATAATTAAAAATTATTTCTAACCAAAATATGATTGTGGATTTATTGATTGTCCATCAGAAGTAAAAGTTTTCAAAGTCATTTGAAATTCAATAGTGTACGTATCGAAAAATGATTCATAACTTGTTTGACTTAATGTGTTTGGGTATTTTATAAGGTAGATTTTATTGTCAGAACTTGCAACAATTAAAGTTCTTCCGAATTGGTAAGTGTATAATTGAGTTATCTCGGTGAAATACATATCACTAGATAGAATGACATATTTCCTAATTAAATCATACGAATATAAACGTCCATCCTTAGATAACATAATAATAGCATCATTATTCATGCACAAATTACAGATGTTTGTAACATTTTCAAGTAATTGAGGCAGGTAAATAGGCTCATTCAATATATTGTCATAGCCCCACATTAACACTAATCCATCGCATGTTATCGCAAATGATTTAAATTCATGGCAAATAATTTTTGATATTTCAAATTCTTTTGGGAATACCACAGTTTTAGGTTGTAAAATAATTGGTGATTTTAATTTCCCACAACCTAACTGACCGTACGAATTATCACCCCAACCGTAAATATGTCCATTACATGTGATTGCAATCGAGTGATGAAACCCGCAATTTACATTAATTATTTTGTGATTGTTCCAATGTAATTCAACAATTTTGGGTAAATGATACTTTATTTTATATTTATTAGTCTTGCCCTTTTTAAACTTGTAACTTTTGCCCCAACTGTACACGTGGTCATTACTCGTTATAGCCAACACAAAGTCCTTTCCGTTGAGAAATTGTTGTATATTTTTATGGCATAATTCTGGCACTTGTTGTGGTGTTTCAATGGATGTGTTGTGTCCTAACCCAAGCTGACCCTCACTATTAGTGCCCAATCCGTACACCATATCATTAAATGTCACAAACAGTATGTTATGTCCCTTTGTATCGTCAAAAATGTAAAACAATTTAATGCATTGTTTTATATTTTCGGGTATTTTATCACAAATTTTATAATTATTTAATGCGCAATTCATTTTAAGAAATTAACTTGTTTAAACTTAATTACAAGTAATTAGATATTTAATTAACAATTTTTGAAGAAACTTTGTAATTGTTAAAAATATTTATTTAATTAATAATATTTTACTTTAATTATAGATATATTTAGCAAACTAGTAACTTTTAACTCTAACATGTAATGTATAATAATAAACAATTATAAAATTATATTAAATTATATTGTTTAAAATGGCGTTCATATTATGATTCATATTGTGATTACTATTGCACTGAATAGAGATATTTTACCATCGTAGGCATTAATAATTAGTATTATTACCTACATTTTATAACGGAATAAAAACGACATGATATTTACTAGGCAACGTTTGAAAATAATTAATGAGTAAGAAATATAAATTATCAATCATAAATCAAACAATATATTTATTATTAAAACCTTTGTCAATATTTTCTAGATTGTTTATGTTTATTATCTACAATATATACACGGAAGATTACACTAAGATTATAATTTTGTAAATATATAAAGTGCAATAAATTTTATGACAATGTATTGAGTGTTAAAAGTAGCATAATTATATTTATGTTAAAACATAAAAATGAAACCCTATGTTACACTATGGCACTCATTGTCAGGGTATGTGGGTAAAATATTTTATTAAAATTAATTGAGCTTTATAAATTTGTCATTTCTGTCGGTTATTAAAGATATTCGTTCAAAATAATTAAACTTAAAATAATCAGCTTTAAAAAAACCAAGGTTTATTGAGAAGAGTACTATATTTAATCAAACAATTTTTAAAATATTATTTTGTCAAATGGTATTTCATTCACTATAACAACTGTAAATAATCATTTACATCAGAGACCTCAAAATGTATAAAAAACAAAAAAAATGTTGCACATAATTTATTTATTTCATATAGATTATCAGTAGATAAAAATCTTTACAAACACAAATATAATTACTATTTTCATTGTATTCATAGTCACCTGTAAATGTGAATGTTTTGAGATTTCTATATTGCTTTTTTGCATAGAATTAGAGTATAAAAATAATCAACAACTCAACTTATTGAATCTAATGAGAGATATATTTCTATGAGTAAGCTAATATTTTATACATAAAAAAGTATAATTAATACTTTATTTCAAAATTACAGTTTATAATTTTGAGTTAATATTTTATAACTCTCACCCACACTAATTTGTTATTATATTTGTGAGCCAAACATATGAAGGATATTAAAAACGTGTGAGAAATAGACTCCAAGGAGTCTAATTTTGAGGAGTCTGATTTACACCTATTTAATATAAAACAAATAATATTAACAAAAATGGTACATTATATGCGATTTATGTTTTAGAATGGCATCGTAATGTAGAATAAGGAATAATCATTTACAATGTGGACGTTCTAGCCAGTCTAGTGCAAATTCATATTTTGTGGGCTATCTCTTATAGGAATATTAAATTTACTTCCAATTATGTTTTGTCTAAAATTTATTCAATTTAATTTATAACAATTTTAATAGAAGATCCCCCTAATGATATTACTTTTAAAATATTTCTATGAAAAATGATGATATTTTAATATGTTTCATTTTTTATTGTTAAAAGTATTATACTAACAAATTTTCAAAATTAAATATTAGGTATCGCACAAAGTTTTGCGAGGTATGATTTATTCAGCAATGGATAGAGATATTGAATATATTTTTGAACCTCAACTATGGTTTTTACTCATATGTATTCTCC